GGGCTCTAGGGTTTTAGGGTTTAGGGTTTAGGGTTTGGGGTTTAGGGTTTGGGGGTTTGGGGCTTTAGGGTTTAAGGGTTGAGGCTTCAGAGTTGAGGGTTTGGCGCTTTTGGGTTTTAGGATTTAGGGTTTGAGGTTTTGGGCTTCAGAGTTGAGGGGTTGGCGCTTTTTGGGCGTAGGGGTTTAGGGTTTAAGGGTTTGGGGTTTAGGGGGTTTAGGGTTTTGGGGTTTAGAGTTGAGGGTTTGGGGCTTAAGGGTTTGGAGTTTAGGGTTTAAGGGTTTAGGGGGTTTCAGGGTTGAGGGGTTCAGGAGGTTAGGGTTTCAGGGCTTTTGTTTCTTTTTGGGTTTCAGGGCTTAGGGCTTGGGGCTTAAGTATGCAAGCAGTCAACTCATAATTGTGCTTTAGTGCCTATAGAAGCTTTAGGATTAATGTAGGGGCTTTGTCAATAATTACCTAGTAATTGGGGGGTAATTGTAGTAAGAAAAGCATAAGTATAGTATAATGTACGCCCAAACCCCATTCTAATTATTAAGGCTTCTACATTAAGCATCTCTCACCACCCGGGATAGCCGTGTCCTCGTGTGCAGTCTACGACCCGGCAAAAGTACAGGAAAGGGGAGACGTCAAGGGATGGACCGATCAACCAAGGGTTTCTCGTTCACTCCCACAAAAAAACTGACCGAGAGCTTTAGATAAGAGCATCCCTGAAGCAGACCACGCCCCCAACTCAAGGCCTCACACCTTAAAAAACGGTTCCCCCAAGAAGGGAAGGGAACACGGAGTTGACCCGTCACAAAACTCATACGAACCCCCAGAAACCCTTGATGCCTTCCTGGGGTTGGGATGCATTCCAACTGTAGCAAGGCGGAAAAAAGAGCCCGCAGACATAAGAAAGACAAACAAACCATAAGCACTAAAACCCTAAACCCTAAAATCCCTAAATCCCTAACCCCTAAACCCTAAAATTCCTAAACCCCTGAACCCTAAACCAAAGAATCCCGAAACCCTCAAACCGTAAGCCCCGGGAGGTGATGGCTTCATGGCGGGATCCGGACGGGTGAGCCGGGCTCTGCAATGAAGCAAAGACTTCTTGGCCTTCCCGTCTCTCTAAGAGCATTTGATGGGTTTAGGGTTTAGGGGAGTGTTTTGTAATTAAAAAACCCAAACGCCAAAGCTTAAGAGCATTCAACTCCACTAAGAGCATTTATGTCCAGCACGAAACCCGAATGCACAAGCCTCATCTTCTACATAGTGGCAAAGATCCCCCATGATCTGATACGGCAGAAACACTGCTCTAAACTGTTTGTGTTCCGAAGTACATGCCTGGGACACCGAAGACAGATGAGTTCATGCCCAATCCATTTCGCACGAACCTGGGGTCCTGGCTGCCCGAGCGCGCTTCAAAGGCTGCGGCTGGCAGTCCGTAAGCTCGCTGGACAGTACCATCCCTTGGAAGCCCAGTTGCCTGTATCGCGGATTACGGGGCTTAGGGTTTAGGGTTTGACTTTCCTGTAGAAGTACAGGGACTCTAGTTACTCTAGAATTGAAGGGACAGGAACCTGTCACAGAGGTGTTTGGGCTTCTCTGGAATCTTAGTTTTGTATCCAGATTATTCAGACCGCGCATGCTTGGCTGTGGGCTAAAGAAGTCGAAAGGGCAGCCTCCTCATCCTCATTTTAGGGTTTAGGGTTTAGGGTTTAAGATCATCATCATCATTATCATCATTAATTATTCTTCTTATATTTAGGTTTATATTGTAAAATCCCGTGCCGTCGTGGTGTTGTGTGTCACTGTGCGCATGTGCTTGCACACAAAGGCGGACACTGCTTTGCAGCTTCGGGCATAGAATCTTTAATGATGAAGTTGTAAACTAGTATGGCGGGGGCCCGTGATGTTCTAGGTCATTGGACTTGCCGCAAAGCTTTTGTTGCCGCCAGACACAGGGATTCACACGGGTTCACTCTTGGCAACATCCTGCACAGGTTGTATATGATGTTCACATCGGATTTCAATCAGCATCCAGTGAATAGATGGACAGGAGCGGCCAAATTCCGTCCGACATGAGCGAATGTCCTAGACGGTTTATTTTCGACGGTATGTGGCCTTACGGGTTCATGGGGTGCGATAGCATCTGGGTCTCTTCTTGCGAATCATGTGTATCCCAGAGACAAAGTGCGGGAGGGCGACTCCGTCCCTCCTGGTGGCTGGCGTTTTCACCATGGTCTGTTTGCAGTTTGAAGCTATCCATGCTGGGACAAAGACTGGACTGTATTGGGCGGAACAAGTCGTTTCTGGGCATGAGAACGGCTTTGTTGGGAGTCGTGTGGCCGTGCTGATCATCGGCAGTGCTCGGACACTGGTGTGGCCAGCTGTTTGCCACAATATAAAAGCCAACCTCGTCGATGGCCTGCGCCAACACAGGAAAGGATCTGTTCAATGGCACGTGGATGTCTTCTTTTTCATTGCTTTGACTGATGCTGGTCCCAAGGGACGTAACCGGAGCGGTCAGAGGCATGGCATTGACGAGCTGTCGCGGTGCAAAGAGATACTCAAGCCGGTTCACATAGAGCTGATGCCTGAAACTTATCCGATGCCGGAGCATGAAGGCTGCTTAAGCGAACAAGACATGCCTAACTACTGGAACCAGACCGCATTTTGGCGCGTGGCAGGTGCCTCAGAGAGAAAGTACTCTCAGTGCAGGCGTGTGGTCGAGGCCTTCACTTATGTGGAAAAGGTCTACGAGCCCAAAGCCGGCATACGCTATGACGCTTGGGTCCGTGCGCGAACGGATTCCGTGTATCTTGCGCCGGTTCCCCCTATGGCGGACTTTGATTTGCGTAAGCTGACCAGCACGAGCCTGGCAAATTCGGAGCACTGGCATCTGGTGTCCCGAGATTGCAAGACTGCCCTTCCCTTCAACTGCATCAAGTGCGTCCACAGCCAGTTTGATGATTGCCCAAGTAGGCCGGAGATTGTCAGAAGCTTCAGCGTGCAACCTGTGGTGGCCCGGGAATATGATGCTGCTTATCTTCGGAAAACACAAGGTTTTGCTCGATTGGCAGCTCGGCCCGAGCCACAGGAGAAGCAAGGCTACTTGTTTCTGGAGTGTCGCAGGTTCAATCAGGCATGTGCCAGACAGGTTAACAAGACGACGCTTGGCAAGCAACTAGCGGATGGTTCTTGGCACTCCTGCGACCCAAGCCCTTGCCGGAAGATGCAGCTGGAATTTCTCGAAGCACCCTTGCCTCGGTTGTGATTGGCACCGCCTTGGCTCCGGGTTCGCGCGATGCTTCGGAGATCCGCACAGCTTCCAAAAAGCTCAGCTCGCAAGTCGCGTGGAGACTCTCCGACGCCAGCCCAGGATTTTCGGGTTTAGGGTTGGGGCCCTAAACCCTCAACCCTAAACCCTATAACCCTAAAGGGGACTACCACGGTTTGAGTTTCTTGGGACTCTTGAGCCTCCATCTGTGGGATATTAGGGTTTAGGGTTTAGGGGTTTAGGGTTTAGGGTTTAGGGGTTTAGGGTTTAGGGACGAAGGGCTCCCTCTCCAGTGGGCAGTTGAGTACACCAGAAAACCCTAAGCCCTGAACTCGCGCTTTGAGGCAGGTATCTCTTTGTATGTTTGCGCAGCAGCACTCAGCACCTTGAAAACACCATGAGGATCTCTACTCTAGCATTAAACAGTATCTTAGTAGCTGAGTAGGTAACCTTTAACCTTTTGAGGCTTCTATAACCCTACTATAATTTGAAAGGTTAACCTTTTTTGGGCTAGGATACTCAGCCCCTAAGGTATAGGAGATAAAGATTGTAGGAGTGTAGAGTCTGGAGCGCCCTTCAGCTTCCGGCAGTCACTGGGGGGTTTTCGGGTTCCGGATGTGTCCCTTCCGTGGTCGTCCGGTGTTTTTCTTTGCGGTCGTTCGCATACAGATGCAGCCGAGCAATCACCATCGCCATCATCATCCCCACCACTCATCCGCACCATCACCCACCACCAGCAACAACATCATCAGCAACAGCAACAACACAGTCAGCCACCACACAGCCCCCAGCTCCAGCCCCAGCAGCAGCAGCAGCAGCAGCAGCAGCAGCAGCAGCACCAGCACCAGCAACAGCAACAGCAACAGCAACAGCAACAACAACAACAAGAACAACAAGAACAACAACAACAACAACGGCAGCAGCAGCTGCAACAGCAACAACAATAATGATAACACCAGCAACAAAACATCAATAGCAACAGCAGTCATAACAGACACAACAAACGGCAACTGCAGCAATATCATCAGCTTCGCCACCGCCACCATCATTATCGTCGTCGTTGTCTTCGCCATTATCGTTGCCGTTCTCACCATCACCAGCACCATTACCATCGTGATCGTCGTCATCGCCAACATCGTCAATATCGTTATCACCATCATCATCACCATCATCACCATCGTCGTCGTCATCATCATCATCATCATCATCACCATCATCACAATTATCATCATCGTCATCATCATCATCGTCACCACCACCACTATCACCACTATCACCACCATCACCACTATCACCACTATCGCCACTACCACCACCACCACCGCCGCCACCACCACCACCACCACCACCACCACCACCATCACATTAACATCCCTCACCACCGTCATCACCACCAGCACCATCATAACCATCAGCGCTGTCACCATCACCATCCTCATGGTCCTATCATCATCATCATCATCATCATCAACATCATCAACACCATCATGATCATCACTGGTCCGTGCTTGTTGGAGTCACTTGAATCGCCGCACAGCTTATGTTGTCTCGGGACAGACGAATTCACGCTGGTTCAACTATTCTGGGCAGCATGGTACATAGGTTGTCAGGGGGTTCACACTACCGTTCCCAGGCACGGCGGTACGAGCGTGTGACATGTGACCGCCATGAAGGTTCCGAGTGTACGTGGCATTCCTGCTTCACGGAGTGCGGTAGCATCTGCATCTCTTTTTTGGAATCATGTGCCTTTCTGGGAGGTATGGGAGGGCGGCCTGGACCTTGCTTGTTGCTGGTGTTTTCACCATGGTGGGTTTTCAGTTTGGAGCTATCCATGCTCGCACCAACGGCATATGGACGTTCTGGGCCGAAGAACACGATTCTGAACATGGGAACGGCTTGGTCGAGAGACGGGTGGCCGTGCTGATCATCGGCAGTGCTCGGACACTGGTGTGGCCAGCTGTTTGCCAAAATATAAAAGCCAACCTCGTCGATGGCCTGCGCCAACGCAGGAAAGGATCTGTTCAATGGCACGTGGATGTCTTCTTTTTCATTGCTTTAACGGATGCAGGTCCCAAGGGACGCAACCTGAGCGGTCAGAGACATGGCATCGATGAGTTATCGCAGTGCAAGGACATACTCAAGCCGGTTCACATAGAGCTGATGCCTGAAACCTATCCGATGCCAAAGCATGAAAGCTGCTTAAGCGCGCGAGACATGCCTAACTACTGGAACCAGACTACATTTTGGAATGTACCAGGTGCGTCAGAGAGAAAGTACTCTCAGTGCAGGCGTGTGGTCGAGGCCTTCACTTATGTGGAAAAGGTCTACGAGCCCAAAGCCGGCAAACGCTATGACGCTTGGGTCCGTGCGCGAACGGATTCCGTGTATCTTGCTCCGGTTCCCCCAATGGCAGATTTTGATTTGCGTAAGCTGACCAGTACCAGCTTGGCAATGATGGACCACTGGCATCTGGTGTCCCGAGATTGCAAGACTGCCCTTCCGTTCAACTGCATCAAGTGCGGCCACAGCCAGTTTGACGAATGCTCGAATAGACCGGAGATTGTCAGAAGTTTCGCCGTGCAAACTGTGGTGGCAAGGGAGAAAGATGTCGCTTGGCTCCGGAAAACGCAGGGTATTACTCAATTAGCAGCTCGGCCGAAGCCGCATGAGAAGCAAGGCTACTTGTTCGTGGAGTGCGACAGGTGGGTTCAAGAATGTGGCAGACTGGTTAACAAGACAAAGGATGGCCAGCACACTGTGAACGGATCTTGGCACTCCTGCGACCCAAGCCCTTGCCGAAAGATGCAGCTGGAATTTCTTAAAGCGGAGTTGCCTGCTGAGCGGGCGCAGTTGCTGGAGCAACGCGGTTCTGAACATAGTCGGGTGGCCGTGCTGATTATCGGCAGTGCTCGGACACTGGTGTGGCCAGCTGTTTGCCAAAATATAAAAGCCAACCTCGTCGATGGCCTGCGCCAACGCAGGAAAGGATCTGTTCAATGGCACGTGGATGTCTTCTTTTTCATAGCTTTGACTGATGCAGGTCCCAAGGGACGTAACCGGAGCGGTCAGAGGCATGGCATTGACGAGCTGTCGCGGTGCAAAGAGATACTCAAGCCAGTTCACATAGAGCTGATGCCTGAAACTTATCCGATGCCAAAGCATGAAAGCTGCTTAAGCGCGCGAGACATGCCTAACTACTGGAACCAGACTACATTTTGGAATGTACCAGGTGCGTCAGAGAGAAAGTACTCTCAGTGCAGGCGCGTGGTCGAGGCCTTCACTTATGTGGAAAAGGTCTACGAGCCAAAAGCCGGCATACGCTATGACGCTTGGGTCCGTGCGCGAACGGATTCCGTGTATCTTGCTCCGGTTCCCCCAATGGCAGATTTTGATTTGCGTAAGCTGACCAGTACCAGCTTGGCAATGGTCGACCACTGGCATCTGGTGTCCCGAGATTGCAAGACTGCCCTTCCCTTCAACTGCATCAAGTGCGGCCACAGCCAGTTTGACGAATGCTCGAACAGACCGGAGATTGTCCGAAGCTTCGCCGTGCAAGCTGTGGTGGCCAGGGAGTATGATGCTGCGTTTCTTAGGAAAACACAAGGTTTTACTCGATTGACTGCTCGGCCAAAGCCGCACGAGAAGCAAGGCTACTTGTTCCTCGAGTGTCAAAGACTTAACGAGGAATGTGCCAGACTAGTCAACAAGACGAGAGATGGCAAGCACACTGTGAACGGATCTTGGCACTTTTGCGACCCAAGTCCTTGCAAGAAGATGCAGCTGGAATTTCTCCAAGCACCGCTGCCCCTCGATTGACAGCTCGGCCAAAGCCGCATGAGAAGCAAGGCTACTTGTTCCTCGAGTGTGAAAAGCTTAACGAGGAATGTGCCAGACTAGAACAAGACGAAGGATGGCAAGGACACTGTGAACGGATCTTGGCACTTCTGCGCCAAGCCCTTGCAGCACCGTTGCTCGGCACCACCTTAGTCCGGGTCGCGCGATAATTCTGAGTGCCTGGTCCAGAAGCAGCTCAACCCGCAAGGTGGGTCGAAACTCTGCGTTGCCAGGTCCCTGCGACTTTTCAGGGTGTTGGGTTTCGGGTTTAGGGAACTCCAACCATTTTGAGTTTGTATGGGTTGAGAAGGGATCGGGGACTGCTCGTCTGGCCTTCTGTCAGGACATGCATCGGCTTTGTCGGAGGATAATTTCAGGGCCGGCTCCTGGCTACGCAAGGGTAGTCTATATAGCCTAAGCCCTTATAGCAAGATCCCCAGGATAGGTTCTGTGAGGCAGCCTCATGTCGCATAAATCACTTGCACCTGCAACTGTCGCCTACTACTCCTTATTTTATCGTCATGTCTACCCACGCGTACCAGTCAGCGTTGCAAATGTGGCTTTCTACGCATATGCCCCAACCGGGCGAGGCAAGGGGTAGAGATGTGAGGTTACGTAGAACTGCTTACAGTATGGTCCTCATTGGTGCGGGTTCCCATATAATTAGAGCCCTGAACATCAGGATCCGGATTATGAAAGTCCCGAAATAACTGCACTCCTCCTTTTCAGAACCCCGAGCCCAAATGATAAATCGGAACTTTCTCCAACGCAGGCAACTAGGCCACCTACTGTTGATGATATAAATCCTGCATTACCTTAAGGACCCTAAACTATGGGAATTATGGTATATTCCTGGTTATGGGTAATGCAGGATTTGTATCATCAACCATCGGCCCCGAAGATGCCTCGTGATCCCCAAAGCGAGGTTCAACCTATCTCAACTTTGCACAGCCTAAGGGTAGAGGGGGTGGACCTATCTCACCTTAAGGATAGAGTCACCTCCTGGAAGAGAAGGTTTTGCCTTTGTTCGGTTCCACATCAGGCTAACCAGTAGTGCTTGTGTGCTTCGCCTTGATTGTCGCCGGAAGAACTATGCGCCAATCCTCTCATGTGCTGTGAGGCCTTGATCTTTTGGTGCTAGCATCAGAATTATCAGTATCATGACAGTAGCATCATTCATGCTCGTTCTGATTATCAGTACCGCTCTGTTTATCATCGTCATTATCACCAGTGCCATCATCCTCATCGTCATCGACGTTGTCACCATTGAAACCACCCTTCTCACAGTCAATTCACAACCACCGCCGCCGTCGTCACCTGTCAAGGTCCGCATCGTCATCAGCGCCAACGTCATCTGAAAGTAGCATGCCCACTGCCTTCATCATCATCATCATCATCATCATCGTCATCATCATCACCATCATCTTCATCTTCACCATCTTCAACAACAACATCATCATCATCATGAGCCCTAAACCCTGAAACCTCAATAACATCATCATCGCTTTATGCTGTATTCGCACCAGTGAAGACGGAGGTCCCGGCTCTGGAAGGCGTGCTTTTTTCGAATCCTTCCCTGTCGGCTTAGGGTTTAGGCTACGGTTTAGGGTTTAGGGTTTAGGGTTTTAGGGTTTAGGGTTTAGGGTTTAGGGTTCAGATTTAGGCTGGAAGGGTCTAGGGTTCAGGGCTTTAGGGTTTGTGGTCGCAAATTGTTCTAGGGTCTATATAGGGGTTAGGATTTAGCATGTTAACTCGCCCAAAGGTTGGCAGGTTTTTTTTGCATCGACGATGAAATTGAAAGGCATTCCTGTTCATGGCTTCGGGGGAGAATTTGGGGTGTGGCCAGTTTTTGTTCAATTTTCTGAGGGGCCTGAATAATTACCTGGGCCTTGAGTAAGATGATGTTCTAATCATTAAGACCCCTATATGAGGGCTTTGGAGTCTCTACTGCGTAGTTCTCACATCTTGCACAACGCACGTCTCAAGCGGAATTTCCGTGAATGTCGGGAGCAAGACTAAGAGCAAGCAACACTTGTCCGATGCGAAGGAATCACCTATATGCTGTTGTCTCCGAAGGTGTGTGGAGTCACGGGTTCGTAAGTGCGGTAGCATCTGCATCGCTTGTTGCGAAGCATGTGCATGTCTGGAAAGTATGCGAGGGCGGCCTGGACCTTGCTTGTTGCTGGCGTTTTCACCATGGTGGGCTTTCAGTTTGGAACCATCCACGCTCGAGCGAAAAATGGGCTGTGGACGTTCTGGGCCGAAGAACACGATTCTGAACATGCAAAGGGTTTGGACGAGAGACGGGTGGCCGTGCTGATCATCGGGAGTGCTCGGACACTGGTGTGGCCAGCTGTTTGCCAAAATATGAAAACCAACCTCGTCGATGGCCTGCGCCAACGCAGGAAAGGATCTGTTCAATGGCACGTGGACGTCTTCCTTTTCATTTCTTTGACTGATGCAGGTCCTAAGGGGCGCAACGTGAGCGGTCAGAGGCATGGTGTCGACGAGCTGAGCCGGTGCAAAGAGATACTCAAGCCTGTTCATGTAGAGTTGATGCCTGAAACCTATCCGATGCCAAAGCATGAAAGCTGCTTGAGCGAAAAGGACATGCCTCAGTACTCGTACCAAACTTCATACTGGCACGTGGCAGGTGCGTCAGAAAGAAAGTACTCTCAGTGCAAGCGTGTGGTCGAGGCCTTCACTTATGTGGAAAAGGTCTACGAGCCCAAAGCCGGCATACGCTACGACGCCTGGGTCCGCGCGCGAACGGATTCCGTGTATCTTGCTCCGGTTCCCCCAATGGCAGACTTTGATTTGCGCAAGCTGACCAGTACAAGCTTGGCAATGGTGGACCACTGGCATCTGGTGTCCCGAGATTGCAAAACTACTATTCCCGTCAACTGCATTAAGTGCGTCCACAACCAGTTCGATGATTGCCCGAGTAGGCCAAAGGTTGTCAGAAGCTTCGCCGTGCAACCTGTGGTGGCCCGGGAAAGAGATGCAGAATGGCTCCGAAAAGCGCAGGGTATTACTCAATTGGCAGCTCGACCGAAGCCGCATGAGAAGCAAGGCTACTTGTTCTTGGAGTGCGACAGGTGGATTGAAGAATGTGCCAGACAGGTTAACCAAACGAAGGTTGCCAACTACACCGTGAACGGTTCATGGCATTCCTGCGACCCGAGCCCTTGCAAGAAGATGCAGCTGGAATTTCTCAAAGCGGAACTGCCTACTGTAAGTCGGGTGGCCGTGCTGATTATCGGCAGTGCTCGGACACTGGTGTGGCCAGCTGTTTGCCAAAATATGAAAACCAACCTCGTCGATGGCCTGCGGCAGCGCAGGAAAGGAACTGTTCAATGGCACGTGGATGTCTTCTTTTTCATTTCTTTGACTGATGCAGGTCCTAAGGGACACAAGGTCAGCGGTCAGAGGCATGGTGTCGACGAGCTGAGGCGTTGCAAAGAGATTCTCCAGCCGGTTCACGTAGAGTTGATGCCTGAAACCTATCCGACGCCAAAGCAGGAAAGCTGCTTAAGCCAGCAAGACATGCCTATTTACTGGAACGACACTGCGTACTGGAACGTAGCAGATGCTTCAGAGAGAAGGTACTCTCAGTGTAGACGCGTAGTCGAAGCCTTCACTTATGTGGAAAAGGTCTACGAGCCCAAAGCCGGCATACGCTACGACGCCTGGGTCCGTGCGCGAACGGATTCCGTGTATCTTGCGCCTGTGCCCTCGATGGCCGACTTTGATTTGCGTCAGCTGACCAGTACAAGTTTGGCAATAGTGGACCACTGGCATCTGGTGTCCCGAGATTGCAAGACTGCCCTTCCGTTCAGCTGCATCAAGTGTAAACACAGCCAGTTCGATGATTGCCCGAGTAGGCCAAAGGTTGTCAGAAGCTTCGATGTGCAACCTGTGGTGGCCCGGGAAAGAGATGCCGCCTGGCTCCGAAAAACGCAGGGTATTACCCAATTGGAAGCTCGGCCGAAGCCGCATGAGAAGCAGGGCTACTTGTTCCTGGAGTGCCACAGGTTTAATCAGGAATGCGCCAGATCCGTGAACTTGACGAAAGCTGGCAAGCTGCTGGCGGATGGAGCATGGCACTCCTGCGACCCAAGCCCCTGCCGGAAGATGCAGCTGGAATTTCTCAAAGCACCCTTGCCTCGGTTGTGATTGGTTTCCGCCTCGGTCACAAATGCGAAACTGCAGCTCGGCAGTATACGGCTGTCATCATTCAGAATCAGTAGTATTATCCTCTTGTAGATTACGATAATGTAAGATATCTTCCCAAAGCTCGTAATGTGGTTCTAATGAGTCTAATGGGTTTAGGGGTTTAGGGTTTTAGGGCTTTAGTGGTCTAGGGTGTAGGGCGATGCTGCTGGACATGGCCATGGTGTTTCCGAAGGACATGTTCCCGAATAAACCCTACGTTTCCTGAGGGGTAGCATTTTTCTTGCAAGGCCCCCAAACAAGGCAACCCTGGTTCCAACAAGTTCAATTTTGTGTCAATATGCAAGGGGTCCGAAAGTGGAAGTCTACATCAAGGGTTCATAACACAGGCCCGGCCTTCATGACGTCAAGCCTTGCGGGCAGCTGGATACCCAAGGGTAGGTGTATCCCAACACCCTAAACTTTCGCCTAAGCCCTAAACTGTTTAAGCCAATAGGTTGCGTTCTGAGATCGGCCGGTTCTTTTCAGGCAGATGCGTCAAGTTCTGCTAAGATATGCCTATTTTCGGGAGTGATCAGCTTGTTGCATCGGTCCCTCGCATCTATCTGCAAAGCTGAGTTATAGGCACTACAATATAATCTAGCGGTTGAGGAAATGTTTCTGGCCAAACGTTCTGGGACAGGACACTGAAGCTCTCTAAACTTTCTTTGTGTGTATGTATATTATGTATGTATGAACTTACGTACGTAGGTGTGTGTCTGTCAGAAAGAATGTGTTTATCTATATATTTATGTATCTATGTATCTATGTTCTGTAGTACTGTATGCAGGTATCTATGTATGCATGTACGCATGTCTGCCTGTCTGTCTGTCGGTCGGTCTGTATGTATGTATGGATGGATGGATAGAT